GCCCTTTGTTGCGCGATGTTTATATTTCTTTTTTAATTTTCATTTTCATCTAATTTTTACTTAAATTACCGAATCTCTTACAAGACAGAAACTTTTGAAAGGGTCATTCGTATTTTCGATTATATTCGACTTACCAAGAAGGTCATTCGACGGAGGACATTTCGTATTCCCTACGATCGGATATGTATATGGCTTCTGTTCGATGCTTGTTTGATAGCGATTCTACGAAATAGGATGGAACGAATGTTCGGCTAAGGTAAGGACATCCATAAAATCGCGACAAGTGTGTGGCATTCCGGGGTCAGGTCGGCTGGCGTGGACGAGTTATTTATGGGGCACGAGGATGACCCAGCTGGATTTACGAACGGTGATCGCCGCCTCTATTAACCGGGGAATGCATATCCATCCTGGCTACGTCTTGCATTTCTAAAACGGTGTCGCCGCTGCCAGTGTCCATCTTTGTGACTGCTTGTCGCTTTCGAAACAACTTAAACCGATCGGAACCTCGAGGGAGCTTTCATAACTATGCTTCAAACACTCGATACAACTTCCAGCCGGCAAAGTAATTTCGCCAAGTCGACACAAAAGATTGTCACGCGGTAGCTTATTTTCGCTGTCTCGAATTTCTCCAGTTTCTTAATTATTCGATCGAATTACGTCTGCGGTAACTAACAGGGTAATTGCAAACCCTTACGAGTTTCAGCTTCGACCGTGAAGGTAATAAGCTTTACGGTGGTATCAAGAGCTTTTTAAATATTAACGTACGCGTGGGAACGTTGGCTGACTGGCAGGTTTGCGAATGACAAATGTAGTTCGTTCTCGAGTCATTACTTATTGATCAGATGAACTATATCCATCCTCTTGTATCGAACTTTTCACTGCAAAACAAACATTTAATATCGCATGCAATTCGGTTTATTTTTCACTGGCATTACCTGTAATTGACTCGAGATTATGCATTATCATTTAGGAGGTCGACTATAGCACTGTGTCTGTTATTTGCGGAAAGAGTTACCTTTTCAACTTCTGAGAGACCTTCTCCTTTGTAATTCAACTGTACTGTATCATTTAGAAAGGGAGATTACAAAGTTCGTCTGTAGCAACAGTACTATTAAAACAAATATGTGATTTAAAACAGCGCGAAAGCGAATGATCGAGTTTCGTTAGAAGTCGTTTAACGAAGTGGTTGTAGCTGGACAGTAGGGGTCACTCAAAACAGTAGTATTTTTCTATCGAACGTTTAAACGAGGCGAGTTTATTTTAATTTATATTTAAACACGTGCAGCAGCTGGATCACATGGCTAGGTTGGATCAATGGTTGCGCTAAATAAAAGGCGCAATTGGTAGTCCTCCAAAATGGTGTCACGTCTCGCGTCACTATCTTGGAGAGGTCAGTGCGTTTATAAGCACCGTATTACAATTCCACCGTACGAAAATAGCGGCGCCGTTCTGTTTATAGAGAGCCGGCTTCTGTGCGATTTCTTTTTTAGACGCATCGCATGCTCGAGGCCCTGTGTTTCTATTTTCTAACGCCGACAGTGATGGAATTGTGTATCTTACGAACGAAACAAACCAACGATCTCGTTCGATAGTAACTTATATAGTTCAATAGTTCTTATATTTATTTATTCATCTTGCTGTTTTACTACATTTTTATTCCGCTATTTTACTACCTCCTTCCATAATTTTATTTTACCGGTTCGCTATCTTATTACATGGACTCAGAAAAAGTCATCCATAAACCGAGTGTTTTCTTCTGTTCGACATAAAATTGATTCTTTCCCTTTATCTCGCCGCGATAAATGAGGAGGGTTCGCGCTCATGGAACCAGCGACCATTACTCTCGAGTGGTAGTTGCAAAAACCGAATTGTAGAAGAACAAAGAGGGTTTTTCTTCGCCTAGCCAAGTCTGTATTGTCTTACGGGTCTCGTACAAATTGAGCCGGTGCACAAGAAAAGATTGATCGCACAGAGCCGGCTAGGTGCCGAACCGCAGCCTCCCTTTTGTCCATTGATCAAAGTGGAACTCGTGTATCCTTGCTCCACTATGCGACAAAGAACCGTCTAAGTTACCGCTTTCAAACAAACTTCCTCTCGTTCAGTTCTCCTTAAACGTTCTCGTCCGGCACCTATCAAAATTTCAATCAATACTCCGAATTTTCTGCGAATAAGAATGTCGCTATAATTAAAACTGACGACGTAGAAGAGCCAGGCATCGGCACAAATGTACCAGAAAAAGAAATTAGACCATGCGCGAGATATAAAAGAGAATTGTGCAGTATTTGAAAATCGTTTATCAAGTATTCGAGGCTGAAACAGTCATCCGCGAGAAACGTCTCGTTTCTCTTTCGCATCGACGCCTTCAACGGACGATCATTTTTCACGAATTGCCTGCTCACGCCGGAATAAACCTTTCTCTCACTGTCTGCTGTTCCTGTAAAATAATCCGAATTTTCCGGGACACTTGTGTCCCGGATTATATCGGATTCATGAAATTTAAATGCCTCTACGGGTCAGCGGATCGAATGAAAAGGACAAATGGGAAATCGGTGTGTTTGGATGCACGGTCTGTTTAAAGGTTGTCATTCAGTGTTCCAAATTATGTGGATTCAATTTTCGTCTATTTATTATGTGACAAACGGTGCCAAATAGAGCTGTTTCGAATTACGTTTTCATACGCTAGTTAGAAACTATTATTGTCTGTTCTAGATATTATTTGTAGTACTTTTCTTCCTAGTGTACAGATTGCAGTTACGAGGCTGGGGAAGAGAGAGTGTGGATGATGATCATTAAATGGTAGTTTGGACCGTTCAGTATCGATTTGTTAACGATCAAAATTCCCAGGATTCGAGGAACGATACTAATCGTGGAAATCACAAGGGAAACGTTGCTCGGTTCCAAGGAAAAGGGGGTTATCGAGTGATCTCGACGTCAATCGCGTGAGTGCAGCCTCTTTCCGGCTACGCCGAAGAAGATTTGATCCTCTGAAATGGAGCAGTCACGCAATCTTTTCTGTAAATCGCTTGAAAACAAATTCGGTGCCGCGACTTACCGTAGTCAAGATTTAACCAAACAGATATACAAAGTTATAATTTCAAGATGTCTGACCACGAACATCCATTTTTATTTACTCAATCATGTTTATCAATAATAATTTTTCAAACCATATTTTCCGTCATTTATCTTTCTCGAAGAGTTACCTAAAAAAATTTCACGAATTCCCGTGCCAGTTATCTAGCAAAATTTCTGGCTATAGTTTCGCAGGAAAAATCAAAGCTACATTTTCTCGCTAGGAAACGAGCTCAAAGGACTCGTCCCTCTATTTTCGTAAAAAAAGGAGGTTACACGTCGCACATGTAAATTTACCTAGCGACACAGTTTGCGTTTTTGAATTGGAATACCGGTGACACTCGCGTGTACAATTCCTCGCGGGATTGAACTGTAGGAAATTCAAAGTGGAGGCTGGTCGTTTACGAGCCCGCGTCAATTTATTTCCGAGCGTCTGTTCGGTAAGTTGACTGGGACTCGACGTAACGTTATTTCAGGTATTATTACGTCGCCGGGCTAAACCTGGTCGGAGATGCACGGGTCAGGGCAACCGACGCGAACTACGCCCTTCGGCTGTGTAATTCGAGTCGGGGAACAACTTTCAACACGGTTCGAGCAATACTCGGCGGACCAAAGTTCGTCCGACAACAATGCCACTCGCTGGAAACGGTCCCTATACGATTCGTGTTCCTCGAATCGCGGATTTGTTCGTCCCTTTTAACTTTCGCGGCGATTTTACACGCTCCCATAAACTCCTTTGATCCTTTATTCTTTACCGTCTGGCCGTGATTAATAGCTCGGTGAGTCGGACATAAAAATGGTACTTCGAGTGGCAATCAAATTTCCGAACGGGAAGTTTATCGGCAAAAATTTTACTCGAAATGTTGTTCACAGACTGACAGATTTTTAGAGGTGGGCAAAGAATGTTGCACGTGAAATTGGAAAATCGTAGCTTTGATAATTCGTGTTGATCGATTAGACAGCTATAGTTTAGACTGCGAGAAATAAGAATCTGTGTTAGTGGAGTACAAGAACTTTTTAACATTCGTACCAACAGAAAATTCACAGCGATTATTCTTAAAGATAATTAGACTCGCGAAAGAATAGGACGAGTGTATTACAAGTGTTCGTTAACAAACGGAAGGAAAAGAAAGGTTGCAACTCCTCTCGCTTAATACATCGTCCCAAGTTTTCTAGATCAAGGGTGGAACACTTTTTACTTTTAATCGGAGCTATAGTTCCAACAAAGCGCACCCTGTAACTTTATCGCCTCGTAATTTAACGTCAAAACTTTCGATCCCGCTCGTTCCAAGTTTTATAATCTGCAATGCTTCGTCGGATATTCTCGCTGCCTGCGATTCCCTTTTTCACAGAAGAGACTGTGGTATTCCGCAGGATCGCCTAACAACATCGACGCCCCTTCGAGTACACTTTTATCCATATTTAATCGGCTACCGATGCGGCTAAGTAGATTGTGCACGTTATTGGTCAGCCTCGGGCGATACTACGTGTAATACGCGATATAAGCCGTCTTGTACTGCCACGTGTTGTTTTCCTACGCGTTGTATAGCCACGCGATACACTCTTGCAAGTTGTTCTTTCTTTGTCTGAAAAATAAATTAACGACAAAATATTAATTATACGCATAAATTATTTGGGACATGCACTCGAGCAATTTTTCTATGTACTTTGACTGGGAAAATAATGAAAGACATAAGATGTTTACCCCTTACCCTGCAATATCGTGTCTTCATCACAACTGAATTTTAGGTCCACTCTAATTATAATCTTCGCAATCAAGGTTGAATACAAAATATGTCTAACTTCTTCCTTCATTTGTTTTCACATGGTAGCAATAATTATTGAGTTGTGAAAGAAGTGAAAATTGTAGATGAAGGGGTTAAAAGCTTTATAGTGTAAATGTGTGGCTAATGATACGAATTTTGTTACAGGATCGGGAGTTCGTGGAGATGGAGGTGCCGTACAACGGTGCCCCGAAGAGGCCGGGTTCGCCGTCGCCCCTGACCTCTCCCGCGCACAGCACTGCCTCGAGGGGCGGCCTGCTGCACGCCTGCTGCGGCCGCTGCTATCCCCAACGTTACCAGGTACGCGGTCGCCGTATTCTCGCCTCGACGACCTCTATAAGCGAGGGTGCACCCTCGTCTTCCTCCCACTCTCACCAATCGCAGCCGACCGGCCAGTCGGTGCATTATCAAACGGTTGACCCCACCACGGTGCCCAATGTCGCGTTCAACGTGCCCGGTGACAACGATCGGTTACGTCGCCAGGGCACCAGCTCGTCCAGCCCCTACAACGAGACAAGGGTGTGAGCCGGGCTCGGGACAACGATTCTTAATCCGTTCACCGATTCAATTCTGGCTCGATATTCATTCGCCTACCGATCGAGATATCGAGGTTACGGTCCTGGTGGTGAGTTGCGCACCTCCAACGTGTCCTTTCTTTCGACAACAAGCTCTTTCGGTTCTTCTACTCTTTGTTCCGTCGAGTTGTTTGGGAACAATTGTTAGATAAACAAGTTTATCGATGCTCTATGTAGGTTGATAGGCTATGGACGATTGTTGGTTCTGGTAACAAAGGAGGTTTCGTTTCGACGTGTACGCGTCGTTTCAGGGGCTAGATAAACCATTCTAGTAACGTGTTTGATTAGTCACTTCGAATTAAACGGGTTGTATATACTGTGGCTCTTTCTTATCGATTTATCTAGAATCTATCTTTTGAATTAATAACGAACCAGGACTACTAGCGCGCTTGACCTTCTTGATTCGGAATTACCTATCGAACACCATGGACAAGTTGTCGGTTCCCGAAACGACCTTGTACGCGAGCGAACGTTCGTTTAAGTTGGTTCCTTATTAAAACCGCTGTTAGTCGCTCCAGTTTGGTGCAGTGATACTCTCGAACACTTGTAGCGAGTATAAGTCATATCACGCGAAGAGATCGGTGTACGCTCGACGTTGTTTGTCGTTGAAGGATCGATGCCGCGTTAGATAAGGATATGTTTGTTCGCCCCGGAGCGACGAGGAGACGTTGTATCGGCAGAAGACTGAGCCTTCCATATCTCCGAGGATTTAAGACATCAGTCAGCTCGGACCGAACTGATCGATTCGTCTCCATTAATCCCGAGTCTAGTCAAGAATTTCAATAATCGAGAAATAAGGTCACGATTGCGAACAAGTCTTAGCATACGTTATTCTTATCGTACTTGCTCGGTAACGAATCTACCGCGATCTCTCGGTTCTTGTCGATCACCTTTAATCACCTCTCGTTTCAACGAACTGTCTCGATCACAGACGATCGCGTTCGAATCTGGTGCTAGAATCAAAACTTTGAGTTACGACACAGGGACACGAGTTCCAGAACTCCAGTTACGGCGCTGAAACTCGATGATCCTCCCGATCGACCAGGTTACCAGGCGCTTGGAGACTAACCTCTCGGGATTCGATGAATTTTCGCAAATTTCCACCATCTTGTTCGATTCTGAAACGATAATAACTAAGAGGGATCATTGACCCCACCACGGTGCCCAATGTCGCGTTCAACGTGCCCGGTGACAACGATCGGTTACGTCGCCAGGGCACCAGCTCGTCCAGCCCCTACAACGAGACAAGGGTGTGAGCCGGGCTCGGGACAACGATTCTTAATCCGTTCACCGATTCAATTCTGGCTCGATATTCATTCGCCTACCGATCGAGATATCGAGGTTACGGTCCTGGTGGTGAGTTGCGCACCTCCAACGTGTCCTTTCTTTCGACAACAAGCTCTTTCGGTTCTTCTACTCTTTGTTCCGTCGAGTTGTTTGGGAACAATTGTTAGATAAACAAGTTTATCGATGCTCTATGTAGGTTGATAGGCTATGGACGATTGTTGGTTCTGGTAACAAAGGAGGTTTCGTTTCGACGTGTACGCGTCGTTTCAGGGGCTAGATAAACCATTCTAGTAACGTGTTTGATTAGTCACTTCGAATTAAACGGGTTGTATATACTGTGGCTCTTTCTTATCGATTTATCTAGAATCTATCTTTTGAATTAATAACGAACCAGGACTACTAGCGCGCTTGACCTTCTTGATTCGGAATTACCTATCGAACACCATGGACAAGTTGTCGGTTCCCGAAACGACCTTGTACGCGAGCGAACGTTCGTTTAAGTTGGTTCCTTATTAAAACCGCTGTTAGTCGCTCCAGTTTGGTGCAGTGATACTCTCGAACACTTGTAGCGAGTATAAGTCATATCACGCGAAGAGATCGGTGTACGCTCGACGTTGTTTGTCGTTGAAGGATCGATGCCGCGTTAGATAAGGATATGTTTGTTCGCCCCGGAGCGACGAGGAGACGTTGTATCGGCAGAAGACTGAGCCTTCCATATCTCCGAGGATTTAAGACATCAGTCAGCTCGGACCGAACTGATCGATTCGTCTCCATTAATCCCGAGTCTAGTCAAGAATTTCAATAATCGAGAAATAAGGTCACGATTGCGAACAAGTCTTAGCATACGTTATTCTTATCGTACTTGCTCGGTAACGAATCTACCGCGATCTCTCGGTTCTTGTCGATCACCTTTAATCACCTCTCGTTTCAACGAACTGTCTCGATCACAGACGATCGCGTTCGAATCTGGTGCTAGAATCAAAACTTTGAGTTACGACACAGGGACACGAGTTCCAGAACTCCAGTTACGGCGCTGAAACTCGATGATCCTCCCGATCGACCAGGTTACCAGGCGCTTGGAGACTAACCTCTCGGGATTCGATGAATTTTCGCAAATTTCCACCATCTTGTTCGATTCTGAAACGATAATAACTAAGAGGGATCAAATGCTGCGAGACTCGAGCGCACGTTATTAACAGGAATCGTGAAATTACGGTCGACCTAGCCTTCCTTAGGAAAATGGATAATATAGGGACAGAAGGGACTGCTCTTAATACCAAAGATTTACCTCCTATATTTAGTATAATAAATTAATCGATGTAAACCGGTTCGCCACAGATGCGGACATATACGATAAATAACGAAGTAGCGAAATTTCTGTATTACACTCGAGAATGCGATATCGCTATTTTTCCTAAGAAAGGTCAGCGTGTTGCGTAGGTATTTATCGAGCGATGCACTAGAAGGTAAGAAGGTACTCGAACGATTGGAGGCTCTAGAAATATGGTGGTTGTACGCGACATCGAATCCCGGTTGCTAAGCACGACCCCTCTGGGGCTCGAGTCTCCCCGAAGCACTGCCAGTTAGGGTTCGAATTTCGAACCCGGTGCTCTCCTTCTCGCCACCTTGATCGGTGATATTCTTGCTATTTTATCTTCGCACGCGCGCACCTACGTACGGATCACGCCGTACGCTAGATAAGAGCTAAATAAACCTTTAAGATGGCCAGGCATCGAAGAATTTCCTCCTCCGTCCCTTTTCGAGACAAGGAGAATCCGATGAATAATGGAGGCGAGTAAAACGAGTTTGCGATTCAGCGAACAAAATAAGAAACAAAGGAGATGCAAATGGATGCGAATGCTTTCTCGAGCAATCGACGGTTCAGTTTATCGTTTTTTACGCTTCCGTCTAGCGAGGCTGCAGCTGCGGCTCCTCTTCGTTCGATACCCTGCTTGCTCTCGTTTTAAGCTCGATAGGTATAATAAAAAATGATCGACGCACGTGGCCCTTCGCACGAGACTGTCCGTGTTTGGAACTTTTCCAACGATCCGTCCGAACGGACGGAGAACAACCTCGAAACGCTTCTCCAGCCGATCTTAAAGCGTGTTCCTCGAATCGACGTTGTTATTTTCCTTCCTTTGTGTCGAACCTGTTCGACGCGAGATGCCTTTGCGGGTGATCCCCTGTACTCTCGACGCTTCTCTTTGTGATACATTTTCTGTGATGCCGCTATCTTTCTAGAAACGCTTCGTTTTCTTCCGAGAGTCTGCTCTTCCTTTCCGAGAGACGCAACCAACGAAACAATAAATCTTGTTGTCGAAAACTATCGAGACGATTCTATCGTAGGTTAGCTCTAGATCGCTGGATCGTTAGAAACCTCTGACGAGGCCTGATCGAAATTATCTAGCCTTACCCTGCCTTCTGATGGCAACTTCTAAATCGATGTTGTAGCTATTCTGATAGAAACTGAGGGAGAACCGTCTGGACTGTCTGAACTCGACGAAGTCCAGCGTGTACCAAAATAATTCGCTAGGTCTCTTCGAGAACTCGTAGATCGTCCCTAGAATTACCTCTTCTCACAGCCGAGCGGCCTTTTCTTCCAGTCCTCTAGTTATTTCCTGTAGCCGGAGATCTTCGGAGCGTTCCATCCTGCGAATTCGTAGCGATGGGTTTAAACGACTCGCGGACAGAACAAATTGATCGCGTGGCTCGTAAAAATTCAATCTTCGTTAATCGAGGAGTTAGAAGCTTGATTTTTATAACTTGGTTTTGATTGCTATATTATTCAGTTTTTAGCGAATATTCGTTCAGAGTTTTATAAGATATTCTTACGTTCGAAGTGTTCTTTCAACCTACACGTGGAAATAATTTTCCGAAATATTTGAAAGTACTGATGTATTAAAAATGTAATTGTCTTTCGATGAAAGTTCCAGCGACTTTACGTTAAAAGTATCTCGATATCGAGAATTGGATGTGTATCGACCAAGGTGGCTGGTACGTCGACTCGTAAATCAGGCTTCACGTAGCGGGAGACGACGTTAACGAGGGAAAATGAGAAGTGATAAATGATCCTGTCTGCTGGTGGATCCGGGACGAGACTCCATCGAACTCCCATTAAATGTCGTTCCTCCGCTATATCCTCCGCGCCATTTTTCAGTGGTTCTTATTTCGCTTATTTTTATAACTTCCAGCGAGTGCTCAAACTTCTGCAACTTCTGCCGATTGAATTTGGCGTTTTGTTTTCTTCTTATTACGATCGCATAAAGCTTATGCAGTACCATTATACTTTGATTCACCGATGAAATCGAATAATTTGTATACGTCTGCAAATGTTATTTAAAAGGCAATCGAAAATTTGCTTGATCCTTAAAATTATTTACGATCTCTCCCGCCAGCCTTTTCACAAATAAATTACATCTATTCCTTATCAATACATCG